AAAGGCTCCCTTGACTGCAATCAGCCTGAAAAAGAAAAACAATTCCTAACCATGCAAGACTTGGGTGATCAATAATGATAGATGTAAAGAATAAAGAATTAAAGAAAAAAACAGATGAGTTTTGATGAATGTCTTTGGCATTCAGTAAACAGCTTTTGTTTTTCTCTCCTGTACGCCTAACTATAAGAATATTTGCAAAAAATATATACACTGTTGTGGTCATATTAAAGCTAAACAGTTGTATATCAAGAGGTATTCCTCTTTTTCCTTACTGATGAGGAGTGGCTGCAGACCTAATCAGCATGTTACACTTCTATGCATTAACTGTAAGTGCTCTTAATCTTGGAAAGAGGATGGAAACATCTTTGCACATCAAAAAAAGCTGAAGAAAAGACGGGTTAAGCCAATCACTCAGTGGTGGTGAATCCTGCTCCCATCCTTTGCTGTCTTTGGTTTCGTTTAGATGTTAATCTCAAAGTAAAGACACTAAAAGTAGAAAAGAAGTGAAACAAGAACTATTTTAAAGGTTTAATACTCACCCTCATCTGTGTCTTCTGTGACTGGAGCCTTGCTGGACTGGCCAAGCCCCATGGTTGCTTCTCTTGTGGATTTTTCCTGTTGTGCTCAACTCAACTCAGCACCGAACAGCTCTCCCTCTGAGACTCACTCATAGCCTGGTCAACAACTGGCCCCAAACAACACACACATACACACAGACAGCCTCACGTGCTCGATTGCGTTTTGCTGACTTGAATAGGTCCCGTCTTCCTCTTAACTGCCCACCTCGACACAGCCACACATCACTGGATCCATACACGCGCCCACAGAGAGTGAAGGACTTGGGGAAAACACTAAAGGCACTGAAGTGCTGACACGCACACATAAACACACAGACACACACACACAGGCAGCACAACTACAGCGTACGTTCCCTGTCTGTCTTCGCTGCTGTTCAGGCGACTGCAGGCAGACGGGCAGCTCGTCCAAGCCAGGAGGCGGGTGGGTGATGTGCCTCTGCCTCTGACCCTCTGATGACTGAGAGTCTAACCTGTGCAGGAAGGCAGGCAAACATGACACCGCCATCGGAGTGAGAGAAGGCGGGACAGAGAGGAAGAGGGGGAAGAGGCAGCAGACTTTAAAGATACCAATAAACAAACTTTAATAGCAGCAGTACATAAACAACTCACTGAGGCTTGATTAGGAAATTTACTTAGTTAGTGAAAGAGGTAAAAAAAATAACTGCTATTTGCATTTCTTACATATCCAGATCTCTTTTCCACTTCCTACCCCTTCATTCCTTCCTCCTTTACTTTTCCCATCATTTATCAATAATTGAATTTATATATTTTAATCATAAGCACATCCCACAGAACAGTGCAAGTGTGATGAATGGTAAGGTTTTTTCCATTAAGAGCAAAAAAGCTGCAGGCTTGATTTAGGGTGGTGTTATGTACTGTGAATGGAAGCCATTCAGATGCCTTTTTAGGACAGGAGATTTCAAAAGTTTCTCTATTTTTTTTTTCCAGAAAGAAAAGAAAAGAAAAATTCAGTTTTTACAGAACAGTTATGCACAATGCAATTATGAGTTGCAAAGAAGTGACTTGAAGTGATTAAATGGCATGATAATTTCCTAACACATCGTATCATATTTCAGTGGTTTTCCATTAAATCCTTTAATGTCACGCTTTAGTGCCTGTCAGTATCTTCAGGAAGAACGAGGGTCTAAAATGTGATATGTAGGTAAACTGCCTGCATGCAGTCCTTTGGGGAAGCCCGTTAATGAATGTCATCCTGAGACTGCGTGATAAGGTCACCACCGCGAAGGTGAATGTCCCTCTTGGGTAAATATGAAATATTCAAAAAAGTAGTGCGGGAAGCCGCAGTGCTGAGCACCCCGCAGAGGACATTGTGCCGGGAGCCCTTATCTGATCAAATAGGAAAGCATGCGCTGAATATAAAGTATCCCCACGCTTCCATGCAGGACAGCCGTGGGCACCTACCTACCTTAGTTGAGCATAGGACCATTTCTAGTCCGCTTTGCTGCAGAGAGGTGAAGAGCAACAGTGCTGCTCAAAGCATCACTTGTAGTCCCGTGTTCGGACGACGACGCACCGGGACATCTGCCACGGGAAACAAATGGTACCACACGGGAAGACGTGACTTGCGGGATGTGCCGACAATGCGAAATCCTGCGCTGTGCTTCTGGAGGACAACAGGACAGACGACAGAGCCGACGAAACACAGATATTTTGGCGGCGGGGGGGTTGCTGCTACTGGGCTGCTTACACTGATGAGCGGCTGACCTCCTGTTCAAGAGCTGGCCACCCGCGTGCGCCTTGGGAGAGGCACGTTTCGTGGGCTGCTGTAGTGGGGGCTGAGGTTTCCCTCGGTTTTTTTTCCACGAATCCTTAGTCATTAATACTTCTCTAGTGAAATTCCACATTGAGAAAAATCAGATTTCCCATTCAGTCCCCCCCCGCTCAGCTATTAAAAATCACCCAATGCTGATCTTCTCTTACTGTATAGACCATCACTTTGAAATTGCCTCATATTGCTCATTTCCCTATAGTTGCCACCATGGAGTCAGTGTTCATACTGTGTTGACAAGAAGTTGTAACCACTTCTTGGCACCAGAACTGTTTCCACCAGGTGCCCCAGGTGAAAGTCTCTTTATAGTCCAGCTGAGCCTGCTGCACCATAATAGCTTTTAAAATTATATGGAAATAGTAATTAGCGTCCATAATTCTCCATGTATAATGTCCCTCTAGTGTTCCATTCTGAGTCTGTGCAGATCTTAGTGTACTTTATTGTATTGTTTCATGCCAGCTATCAATACAGAGTTCATATTCTTGAATAGTCAAAAGCGTTATAAGTTTTCTTATTGCCTACCTGTGAGAACAGACACATAGGTAGTGACAGTCTTTCCACATTTTATAATATATAATTATGCAGAGACCTACATCTTTACCTATACATGATGATGTAGATGATGATCTTCATTAAATATGTGAAGTATGTTGCTTACTGCAATGCAGTTGGATTTCCTTTTGGCCATAGTTCTTTAGTGCAGCCACTGATTATATATTAACATTTGCAGCCATTAACTACTAACTGTAAAACACATCCATCCATAGTCAGGACTGCACTATTTCCTGCCTCCCCCTGCTAATTGAGCAAGCCAAGGTCGAGAGGAGAATGGCTGAGTAGTGGGACTGGGGCATGCAAGACATGCTTACATTGCACTTCCTCTTTATGCCCGTCATGCTAAGATGCTCAGAGTTGGTCATCCATCTTACTGACAAGATCGCCCCACGCTATGAAGTGGGAGCAGATATCATTCAAAACCAGGCCAGTCCCTTATTGGGCATTTGACAGCATTGGGAAGTTTACATGTTTTTTAGATGTGATGAATAACGGCAGGCTCAGATCACACAGGGGCAGAGATGAAGTCAAGCTACATAACATGCCTGAGGTCATAAAATGCGTCCCTGTTTTCCCAGTTTTGTAAGTGAAAATGGGAGATTTTTATTTGGAAAAGGGAAGCTGTCATTGTTATGCCCATTTATACTGGATACAGATTTGAATAGAGGAGTGGTGATTTTTTTTTTTTTTTTTTTGCAGAACTTTTATGCAGAAACTATAGAGCCTACAAGTCTGTGAAATTAGCCCCATCTAATGGATAAAAATGAGATTGTTGCCTAACTGCAGTCAAACTTTATACAGCAAGGGTAGTTGGCAAGGCTAGGCTAAGTAACTGTTATATGCCAGCTTTTTTTTTTTTTTTTTTTTTTTTCCGCCTGTCCCATTTGGTTCTTTAGCCATCAGAATTGTTGTCTGAAGACCAACAAGGATACCCAATGGATTTACTTTGCCAAATGGATCATCGTGGCATTGCCGTATTGGTCCATTTGGTCGATCTTTGTTTTTATTATTTATTATATTTTATTTTCAGATGTTACAGACGGGACAGACATGAGTGAGAGATAGGAAAGGGAGAAAGAAAGAGGAAGGAAAGGAAAAACAGAAGGGGAGAGGGACAGTGAGAAAGGGGGGGAGAAAATGCCAGCTTTAAAAAAAGTGTACAACTCATCTGCTTTACATTTTGAAAATTGATAGTTGTTGCAGTGAAGCTATTTGGTATGACCACACATGACATTAACAACCACTTGTTCCCATATTCATAAACAAATGCTTTTTTTTCTAAATTAACCAGTAATATATAGTGATTTTTTTAAGTCCATCACTAGCTCTTACATTAGCTTGTTAAAGAAGAGTTTGCTATGTTTCTTCTTTACTTATTCATTTGTTTATTTGGTATTTTAGTTTAGTTCTGATGAGGCAATTAGTAAAAATCATTGTGAAGCTGATGCTCCAGCCATTAATGGAAAACTAATTCAATGCCTTCATTGGGATATTCAACATCTAAACTATCTGGACTCCTCTCCTCCTGCATAGAAGATATTAAAAACATATATACAGACTAAGACATGCGCCAATTTAATGCGAAAAGTACTCTATGCTGAGTTGGAAAATTCATAGTGTGCAGTTAGCTTCACAGTTTGTATGTATTATACAAATAAAAATTGTTGACATAAAAAAGTGTATGAAAATGTATCATCTGTGGTGGAGAGAACACTTACCAAATGCTACACATAATCAGAATCTGTAGTTCATTTCCCAACAGTTATCACTGTCAGTGAAAAAAAACACTGTTTCTAAAGATTCATATATAACAATAAAAAAAAAAATTTTCTAGCTACTGAGCAGTAATGCAGATACAACTTCAAAGTTGTATCTTTTACTTTATTTTAAATTTGTATCCATTAGAAGAGGAGAATCGATGCTGAACTCAAATGCACACAATGCATGCAAATCTGCGTTATTGCATCACAAAGGATCTTCCCCTGTCATTCCTTCACAGTTATTTTGGAGTAAACAAAGGGTGTGTTAAAATCCATCCAGATGCATACGTGGCTCCATGTGAGCGTTGGTCACACAACCAAACCAAAGCTCTGCTGGTACACAAGGTGTCAGTGAGTCATGGCGATCTTTAAACACGTGTTGTTTATCTCATCTTTGATGCCGCTGATATTGAGCTACCCTTTCTACCCTCCAACATGCTATACTAAGGTGCTGAGCATGGCCCGGGACCTCACCCAGTGGGCAGCAGATTTGAAAAGGGACCCAGAGACTGTAAGTCAGCTTGGTAATTTTTTATTTTACTTTACACTTAAATGGTATTTTATAACTATTCTAACTGTTTAAAAACTTGTAAATAATAAAGATTCTGTACTTTACATACATAATTGTATATTATTTCAGCTGGCTTTAGTGACACGAGAAACATAATTTCAAAGAAATCATGGAAAGTCAGGAAAGGTTGTAAAATCTGTGAGACTTGATAGCTGTCATTCTTTTCATCCAGAGTTACTGCATGGCACACATGCCAAATCTCTACATTGATGTTCATGTAAGTATGTCTTTATTATTAAAAAAGAATAATAAAATGGCATGATTTTTGCCATATAACATTCCGAAAAGAAAATGTTTTCTGCGCTCTCCGTTCTGTCGATGATCTACACACATTGTTTTGAGTAATCTGGCCGTCCCTGCATTTTTGACGCTCACTTATGTGGTATTTTGACTCCAAACTTTAGCTGCAGTAAATCATGCGCAGGGACACTAATTGTTACTCATGACAGAATGGTTGTGTGATGTACAAAATGAGCACCTACCTCCAAATGGTGGAGGGCCTGCGACAGCGCCGCTGTGCTTACACCAGAGACGTAAGGAAGCTGGGTGTCACTATGCGACAGCTCTTCATCATCATGTCAGAGAGATGCCACGGGGTAAGACAAGACAAGCTGTCTAAATAAGTGTAAACTGTGCCATACTCAATCATATATCAGATATTAACATCCCATCTTGTGGGACTTAAGTGTGGTGTAGTGCATTTTCGCCTGGAAACTCTAGAAACGTCATAAAGTAAATTACAATTCATAGTTAAGATCAAACGTATAGCTCTGATTAAACCAGATTTTTATTGAATATGTAGTCACTGAGCTGCGTTTTAACTCACCCATGCACCTGATATAGTTTCATAAACTGAAAACAGGCTAACAGTGATGAGATGCATTCAAACTAACTGCTGTTTACTGGGTCACTCACTTGGTGATTTCGCAGGATTAAGCAGGGTTTATGATGCAGATTATGAATAACCTTCTGTGCTCTGTGAGCATTTGATCCCACTCACCTGATCTGTGATGTCAGACCCATCTGGGTCTGCTACTGGTGTCCTGACATGACTGATCTGCCCGTCTAGCCGAGGCCACAATGCCTCAGAGAAGGGTCAGAGTAAATTCACTTACATTAGAGAGAAAGGTAACCTTCTGCTGTGGCTTACATAAAGCATATACAAACATTATTTATCAAGTGAAAAACAAGTCACTGCTAAAATGTTCACACCTCCCTCACCGGTGTCCCATGGTGTGTTTTGTTTTCATAGGACTTGGTGTTCACAGCCTTTGACTGCTCTGCCCTGGAGCGCTGACATCCTGGATGCTGAAATATTTCAAGCTGCTCACCGAGAACGTTGATAGACAGCGAGAGTCTCAGTGGACATTCTTTATTTCTTCAAGTAATGACAGAAAAAAAAAAAACCTGGAAGACATGAGTATGAGATCACCTCAGTAAACCATATTGTGATTCTGATGTTATAAGCATGCATTCTCTTTGTAATGACATTTATTACCAACTAGATGATAAAGCAAAATATTTTACAGAATAAGATGCATTATTTTTTTTAATATTACACAGGCTTCTTATAGAATGAATAGAGTCACATGTTTGGTTGATAGACAGTTGTTTGAATAAGTATGCAAAAACTTTTAATGCTGACTAATGAGTTAAACCCCTATGGAAGCAAATTAAAACTGAGCCTTCTGAGTACCTTTGATCTGCCAAATGTGATAAAAGACAGCATTCATTATATTTCTTGCAGGGGGTTTTTCACACACAGGGTGCCAGATAAGCATATTGCATAGTGCATAGTGGAGGTCATACTGACTGTATTAGGGCAGCGCTTAAGTAACAGTAACAGATAAGTAAAAGATCTGTCAGCCAAGACACTTCTATCTTGCTTTTGTCGTCTTTAAAAACATCTGTAATAGCCACAAACAAGCTACTAAATTGACGCTGAGGTGTGACTGTTCTGCTTTTATATGTTCCCAATGTGTAAAATGGACTTTGCAACACAATATAAGGTTTGGTATTAAAAGTAAGCTCCAGCATGATCCAGCAGTAAGCTTTATTGCATCTTACGATGGAAATATCACAGTAATTCTTTTGTGCCTTACATGTTTTAAATACAGTCAAAACCGGAACACATGACACGCAACAGTAAGGATTGTGAGGTATCTGCAACCGTCATTTTCATTTGCCATAGCAGGAAAATATCATTTGTGCCCCAGTAAGACAGTGCACCGGTCTTTTTCACTTCATAAGTCATTACATTTTTGAAACAAACATCCCTCTGTTTTATCTACTGTGTGAAACAAGCTGATTTATTCAGAACTGGTGATTTAGTTCTTATACTTTTAAGTATAAGACACATTTTCTTGTACCTAATATACAAGCTGGTATTCTAGGACATTCAGAGGGTTGGTGTGACAGAAGAGGATGGGACAGGGCGAGATAGAGGCAGATGATCTGCTGTGGCAACCCCTAAAGGGAGCCGCTGAAAGAAGAAGATGCAAGCTGGCTTCCTAAGAATAGAAGTTAAATCAGTTGAGTTGTCCAAAAATGTATTCTCCTTATGTCTCTAGCCATGCAAATAAAAAAGAAGATGACTAGGTTTCAAGAGAGGTTTAATTTTTCAACATGATTCCAAATGCACTGCCATTGCAGTAAAAGCATACATGGATGGAAAAACACACAATGGTACACACATCAGTCATGGATTGGTCTCCCCAAAGCCCAAGCCTGAACATTATTGAAGCTGTGTGGGACAGAGAACAGAGCAGAAGAGAGCCAATATCCAAGGAAGAGCTTTGAATGTCCTGCGAGAAGCATGGAGAACTAATCCTGAAGACCATTTAAAGAAATTAGTAGAAAGTCTGGCTAAGAGAGTTCATGAATAAAATACTGACTTTTAAGCTTGTTAGAATTATACACACTCTGTTTTTGCCTTAAATATTGCATTTCCATGCATGTTTACACGTTTTTATATATATTACTTGTTTTATTTCTCACCGATATTTCAACACTCAAAGAAATTTTACAATACTCATACAATAATCTTTAAAACAATCTTACTCAGTTGTCATGGAAGGTCATTTTCAGAAACATAGATAACCTCCCTGATATTCTGTTTGATGTGGACGGCTGGCTGTGTGTCAGATTGCCACCTCCAAGTCCACCTCTTCTCTTTTTATCAGTGCCACCGTCTCCAAGCTTACATTATAACAGTTCACACTACCATGTTGTAAACATTGTCTTTCACACGATAATGTGAAGTCATGGAAAATGTGTCAGGTGATAGGATCTTCAGAGAAAATGAGATAATGGCAGTGAATTAGAGGTTGAAATAATAATAAATTACATTATTTTTCTTTTGGGAAAGGGCCCCACGGACACCACTTATATAATTACGTATTTATACAAATATCAGGATTGACGACAAGTCTCCTTGATAATATGTCCATCATGTGTGAATGGGTGAATGACTGAATGTAGTGTAAAGCGCTTTGGGGTCCTATGGACTAGAAAAGCGCTATACAAATGCAGGCCATTTACCATTACCATTACCATCATTTTCTTCATTCTCCCGACGTCAAATTTCCCACATACTACGCAGAAAAACAATGACTTTCCCACTAGAGGGCGGTGTGGCCTTGCTTTTTCAGTTGAGTGAAGTTTAACCAGCATGTAGCTTAACAGGAAATACAAACGAAAGTAAGGAGAAACCAGTGCATTTTCTTTTTGATATTGATTAATGAGCTTTAAAAACTGTAAACGAGCTGTAATAAAAAATCACCCAAATTTGTTTTCTTTTTTGCCCTTTAATGATATATTTTTAAAAAGCAAACAGAACACCTAAACAGGAGAACGAGAAGACAAAATCTGTATATAATGGTGTCCTAACTTCATGCATGCAGTCTAAATGTTCTTACAGGGGTTATACTTTGGTATACAGCACAGCTGTTGAAGTTGAAGGAGACGCCGCCGCTGTCAGAGAGCACGCCGAGCATCAACCCGGACATGAAGTCCTGTTTTACCGCCTCGACGCTGTATATCAACCGACTCGTTCTACCCAAGGAACTACATTTCCTACATTTCCATGTCGGCAGCGCGAGCGCTGTTCAGAAACGAGGTGGGGCTATTTTGAATCAACAAGTTGCCCAGCCAGACAGGCGAGCAGCAATTCCATCGTGTCTTCGTAGCAGCAGGTGGTCACCGCGCGCCCAGCACTTAACCACAGCCTGTTAATTGGATTACGCCAAGTTTCCACGACAGAGCCCACGGGCTGAAATGGACGGAATAGATTAACTTTTTCTTCTTTTTTTGTGAACCAGCCCAGTTCTCTTTTTCTTCTCTCAAGGACGCTGAAAGTGACGCTGTAAATTGGTAGATAAGACTTTCTTTTTAGCGGACTGCACGTTTCTGCGTGCCTAGTGCTCTCGTGCTCAAGACTGTTGACAGTTTTTGTTTTTTTTTTAATATATTTTTTTCTTTTTAAAGTTGAAGTTAGTACATTGTTAATAATGGCGTTCGGTAGATTCAGTAAACTATTTCGTCTACCCACCATGGATATGAAAAAGAAAGCCAAACAGTACGAGCACGTCAATCGGGACGTCAATCCCAACGACATTTGGGAAATTATTGGCGAGCTGGGCGACGGTGCTTTTGGAAAGGTCTACAAGGTAAGTGTGTTCTCAAAAGACACGAGGCACCTGTTGTCTGACAATGCTGTAGAACCCCAAGAACCCCATTTGTCCTCAAATGAAGTAGTCCTCTCGAAATGTTGATAAGTTGCCTGTTTGTGCTTATGAAAACTTCCTTGAATATCAAAAAGTTACTTAAGTTTACTCTGACAAAATGTAGTAAACGTCCTAATATATACTTTATACCAGTTTCATTTCAAATGGGTGTTTCTGTGTATTTTTCCCCCACCTGTCACACACTTTAAAGCCTTGCATCCTTTGGGTGTGGACTAGTTCCATTCACCTGTGGGTGCTGAACCATCCCAGCATTGCTGTAATATGACAGATATCTGAACTATGTTGCTGGTCAAGAGTTCTTATGTTAAACAGACCCATGCAGTCATTACATTAACTTTGGCTGTCATGTGAAAGTTTTGCTAAATATTTAGAATCAGCATGGGTGACTACTACTTCTGTGTGGCTCCTCGATGCACCTCTCTTCTTTTCTCTCTCAGGTCTGACCTCTCAGAACTTGTGTGAATGCAGTTGAAATTATGTATGCCATGTGGAGGATTTAGAAAAATGCCATGATGTGACTCCACTGTTGAGTCAGCCTGCAGGGACAGTGAAAGCACCTTAGCACCACCACCAGCAGCACCACCACCATCAGCACTTTGACTCAGTGGAGATATTTAATCTGGCTCTGTAAGACATTCACTGCCCTCTGCAACGCGGGGCACAGGCCTTCTGTGTCTACACAGCCCAGAGGAGCACAGTGAAGGTCTTTGACACATCAGGGGCCTCAGTGGAAGAAGTGATGCTTTAAGCAGAATTCTGCACTGAACAGAGAGCGCAGTCTTTTCAGAGGACCCCACCTTGTTTAGACTTTTCTTTTTTTTGTTTTTACTGGAAAGTTTACATACATGTGGGGAAATGGGTGTGAAGAGCACCATAATGCTCACTATTCCAGCAAAGCTATTGCCACGGATGCAATTTAATGAAAAGAAAATAGTAACATGGCGATCAAGTTATAGCTAGAAGTGAAGTTGCATAATTTATCTTAACAGTGAAGCATACTATGAAAACGCACAGTGCTTTGAGTTTTCTTCCTGAGATGCTAAGGCAGGGACCTGGTACAAGGTTCTTTAAATCTGAAGAAACCTTTAATAAGCTGCTGTTTATTACTCAGGTTTTAAGGATTACTCAGGTTTCTAAGTGCAGAAGTACACACAGTCCACTTCAGCTCCAAAGTGTTTAAAGCTAAAGCCAAATGAAAGTGGCTGGTACATCTAGTGTGATTAAGTGCTACTTAGACAACTGGCAAGCTTACAAAATGTAATGTCCCTTCCACACTATATTTGCCTGGGTTCCTGTTTCTCCTCCTTCAGTTGGTTGGAGGAGGACAGCTCCACACCTGCAGCTGTCAGATGGAGTGGAGGGAGGCAGAGCAAGAGCAGACGATGGCCAAGAGAGGAAACTGTGGGACTGCATCAGGAGACGGCTTCCTCTCGCTGCTCCCAAACCTCAGAATAATTGGCCCATCTGTGGGAGGGAAAGGCCTTGTGTGGTGAATTGTACATGCTTTCAGATGTTAGAAGTATTTGATAGAGCAGGCGTGAGGGAAGGAGGCTCTGTGTCCTGTCACTTGTGAGATCATCTACTTGTCAAACTGTTTGGGGGAGGGCAGGAGTCACAAAAAAGATGGCTGTTGATGTGCAATGGGCAGCAGGAGAAGAAAGTATAAATTTCATTTGTCGGACACCGCTGCTTGTAGAGCTTTTTTTGTTTTTGTTTCGGTCTTTGAGATTGAGGACAGATTTGTGTAATTGTGCAGTTTTGCTAGAGAGTACCGAGTGCTCCACACAGGCTGATTCTCCAAAGGTTAATGTCACCAGCAGGAGAATAACAACTCCCAGGCTTAAGGGTAGTGCTAAGGACAAATCAATCTATGTGTGTGCATGGCTGTAACCCAGGAACAGTGTGAAAGAAGGATCTCATAAAATGCAATATACTCCCCCAGTTATCGAATATATTCTTCCCTGTAGGTGAAAGTGTACTTTTCCATTATTGAAAGGCTGCTAGGAAAAAAAATATGACTGTCTATAAAACTTAAGCCTGTGTTTCTAACTTTTTTATTGCTGGAGATTGAGGGTCAAAATATTGTGCAAATATCTGTCATCCAAGTGCTATAAGTACAAGCGTGCACTTGTGTTGGTTGATACTTTGATGCATAAATTACCTGAATGCAGAATATTCATTTTGTTAATGAGTCTGAGTATCACAGGACGCTACAGATACAAACATGTACTCAAACATGCTGTTGTTTACACCTTCTGGTGCTCTGTTAATGAGGTTAAAGTATCACTGTCCAGCAGCAGTTAAATGGGATTATAGAGCAGCTAAATGGAAAGCCGATGTTTCTAACACTGCATTTATCACTCGAGGGCCAAACATATCTTTAACCTTAGAGCACATTTTACTTGTCAGTAAGTTAGTTTTGACCACAAAAAAAAATCTGTGTGCAATCAGTGCTACGTTTAGATTCAAATTGCAGTTAAATTTTATTAGCACTAGTTAAATGCTAAATTGGATTTTGATGCTTGTTATCAGTCTTTTACTTGCTGGTTTGTTTCGCAATGTAATGCACACACCCACAACACTGTGACACTTCTGTCTCCCTGTAGGCTTTTTTTTTTTTTTTTTTTTTTTATAAACCATCACTGGCTAATCAAGTTTCATATTCCACTTCCTGCAGATTCAGTGTGTCATAGGATGATGTCTTTGCTCTGTGCGTGTTTGCACTTGTTGGAAGGAGTCTTGCGCTTGTGTATGAAGGTGTTGTGGCTGCAAGTGAGGCATGAAACAATTGAGTTGTATAGCCCTTCTCACTAATTAATGAGCCACGTGCCACTGAGCACACTAGCCTGCTGCTGCTAGTGAAATGTTTCCATAGACACACACAGGCTTTAAGGTTACGCGCTGTCAAATTCCCTTTGTGGGATGAAAAGCGCAGTGAATCTTGTCCCTGTTGGTCTGACAGTGTGTTCAGCCTGGATGTTGTGTAGTAGAAAGTGTGTAGGTGGCCTCAACTATGGCAAAAACGAAACGAGTACGGTAGTCGGCCAAGTGTTTAGGCCACAGTACTTAATGTAACGGATCTGATCATCTTTGAAACTTTTAAAAAACTCTATTTATGCACATTAGGTTGGAGAAATGTGGTCATACACCGGGCCAAAATGTTGTGGGAAATCCTGGACTGGTTAAAGGCATAAAACAAGACATTTCTCTTCTATGTAGTTGTTTTGTAAGACTTGCAGAAAATCACTTAAAATATGATTACCATCTACTGTGAAGTCAAAGAGAAACTCACATGGTGAGTAGGAGGGGGCAAAGGTTGCAACTTCCTTTTTGTGAAGGAAAGCCGCAAGGTTCATATGAAATGCTCACAGTTATCAAGAGTGGCTCCAAGACGAATGTTTAAAAAGACTTCAGTGGCATTGTCGTCACTGCTCCCGAGAGCAGGGTTTCCCTGGGTCTAATCTCAGGGAGCAGCTGGGCCCACGGTGACTGATAAGAGCCCAGCTGGATGGGTGTGGGCTCAGAATGGTTGGAGTCCCTGTTATCCTCGTGATGACATTGTCATCGGCATTTACAAAAGCCGTGATCTGTGTTTCTAGTTGTAGGTGTGAGGTTAATGATCTACATGATAATTTCTGATATGTGTGAGTTCATACTCGGACAGCATTAGCAATCGAGAAAATGAAAGATTTAGAATTTTCAGTTATATCAGATTTTCTACATTTGTGTCACTTGTACACTTTTTCTGATTAATCTGGTAATCATGCAGTACTTGCCCGAGCTTGGTTTTGTGGTGTGCTTTAAATTCTTCTAGTCTGCACTCAGGAAGTTTGACTCCTTTGTCATGAAAGTCAAGGTTTGAAGGCCGGTGTATCACTGATTAAAGAATTAAGTGTTACAGGTTTTCTTCCAAGGCTGTCTGTGGTATTGTATGTTATAACTTCCTGCCTCCCTGACCTGCTTTGTTTTTGTGACTTTGGGGTTGAATTTGGGGCATGTTGCAATGTTGATCACAACTTTCACATCCTGAAAAGGCTCATTGCTTCATTGTTAGGCAGTTTTTGTACAAATTTGTTCCAGTCAGGTATCCTTTGCCCAGTAGTCCCAGTAGTAGTCTAAATTCATACATTTGTGCTGTCTTTACAGTCAGTGGTTTTGATAGAGGAGGAAGAGTCATGCTCTGGCGTTGAAAGAAGAAAATATGTCAAACAATCTTTGTTCTTCACTGATGCGTTTCGCTGTAAGAGCTTCTGGTATTTCACAATAGAGCCATAGCTACATTCATGTCTTTAATCTATTTTTTTAAGGTAGGGGTTAGCCATAATGATTGGGTTTGCAGAGCCATTCACATGTCTAGGTGAAAGGTAAGCACTGGCTACGCAGCCTTGAAACATTTTAGTCACTTTTCTTCTTCTCTTACTTTACTTTCTTCTTGAGATTAGACCCAGAGAAGCCCTGCTCTTAGGAGCAGTGACAACCACACTGAAGGCTTTTTATCATTCATCTTTACTGTCTTGGAACTTAAAAAACCTAATAAACAGTAGCAGTGGCAAATTAGTAATTTCCTTTCCTGTTAAAAATATGTCATGTGAGAGTTATAGGTATGCTTCCTTGTGCCTTTTTTTTTTTTTTTTTTGGAAGAACATTTTTACTATGTCACATGAATGCATCATATCCAGTAAATAAAAGATGATGACTACATTAGTTTTCATACTTTACTGGGTAACATACTTCCACATAAACCATTTATACTGTTGACCTTTACGCCCAATCAGTATTTTCTATTTTTTTTATCACAAAAAACACAATCCATTACTCCGTAGTGGTTTGTCAGTTTGGCCTAAAGTGTAGGGAGCTTGGGGATGGGGGGGCTCCAAGATAGTGGCTTGGGCCCTTCTCAAAAGCTGCGAACAACAACCTTT